TTTCCAAACCTAACTATTCTATGATTCTGTGTCATTGGGGAATTTCCAGCCTTTTGCTATCCTGTTTTTAAACAGTATTTTGTTTACATTTTTATTAAGTCATATTGTAACTTAATATTTTAATAAATTGTTGCACTAAATATGTCTTTCTTTAAAAAGGTTAGCTTGTGTTAAATGAGATCTAATGTTTGAATAAAATTGAATTAAGTAATTGTTTATTCTTTAAACTCAAGTACTATAATGTTCAACCAAAAAACACTGTTCACTAGCAACCTGGATGCAAAGAGAGGGGTGCTCGCTTTTGCCATTAAGAGCTAAGCACTTGTCCATTGATCCAGCGTGGGGGAATTTATAATCTGAGTTATCAGCACTTTTTTTACAGTATTCTAAGCTCGGTTCTATTTTTCACATCTTCAGTTCTGGTTTAATTATCCAACTTTCCCACTGCTACAGGTGGAGGAATCTTTGGTTTGCTGAGCAAGAAGAACCGCTTTGGCCGGAACCCTGTGGTGATGCTTGGCATCGTTGTCCACTTCCTAGCCTTTTACTTAATTTTTTTCAACATGCCAAATGATGCCCCTATTGCTCCTATGGAAGGAACAGATGATATTGCTTACATGATTCCAAAGTATGTGAACTTTTCCCTTTGGCTGCTATAACTCAATGTATATAAACAGCTTGTTCCTCTAACAGAAAATTCCTTGAAGCTGCTTTTCTGTGTAGTGACTACCTCCACAGAAGAAGCTTTCAGGAATTCTGTTTTTATGCAGGGTATATATTCTACCAGTGTGCATCCAGTTTAGGCACTTGAATGGCATAAGAATTAAAAGCATTAGGATGTTTGAGAGCAAATCTGTTGCTTGAGAACTGCCATTCCTGACATCTAGTACACTAGTGAGACCAGCAGCTATTGTACTAGATGTCAGGAATTCAGTTTATTTTAAAACAGTGTTGGGTTCAATTGTACTACAGCAGGAACACTAAGAAGGTGTTTTTGACACTCTGTGCAGCAGCCTTGTGCTGTTGCACTGGTTTCCAAAGTCTTTCAATGCTTGTTGTCAAATCCACTTGGTCTAAGTGGTGCTGTGCTATGCCTGTCTTACAGCAGTAAGTGTTAGGGGAAGGATGCAGGGAGCTTTCTTATCATTGCACCTTCCTTTTGGAGTGCATTTTTGCCAATTTGGGTGAAAATAGTGGTGTCAGTTTGTGCAGACACAACTGCTAACTTGTAACTAAGCATTTAGAATCATAAAATCACTGAGGTTGGAAAATACCTTTAAGATCATCAAGTCCAACATTTACCCATGGACTGCTAAGTCTACCCCTGAACCATGTCAGTCTGTGCCAGTGCAGGTGACTGTTCTTTAATTGGAGTGTTTTGCTGCAGAATGAACTGATAGTTCTATAATATTCCTGCAGATTTTATGAACTCGCCATGTGTGTATCAGCTTCTAGTTTCTGCCTTGTGGGTTTTGTGGCTCCAAGTACCAAAACGAGGGGTTTTTAGTGGTTCTAATTCAGTGTAGAATTGACTGCAGGTAACAGTACCAGTAGTCTTGGCATTCAAGAAACTAAAATCTGATGAAACTCTTCTTTTTGCCAAGCTAGGCTTTCTTAGTTCTCTTCCAGTGAGATTTAGGTTGATAACTTCCATTCTCAGTTTCCAATTAGTCCGCCAAATAGTTTATAGATCTGTAACTTGTTTGAATGAATGGCATTTAAATTTGATTCATTCTCTCCTTCAGCAAAAATGTGGCCATATTCTGCAGCTTCCTGTTGGGCCTGGGGGACAGCTGCTTTAACACCCAGCTCCTCAGTATTTTAGGTTTCCTATATTCGGAAGACAGTGCTCCTGCCTTTGCCATCTTTAAGTTTGTTCAGGTACTACTTAACAAAGCCTTTTGAGAGTATTATTGTGGAATGTTACCAAAATATTGGTTGAGTTTTTAATGAGCTGCAAATGTTTCTGCAACAGATTTCATCATGAATTTTGGTATAGAATAGTTTGTAATGCTGTAAAACTGGAAGTAGTTTTCAGGACTGACTTCAAAGCCTTGGCTGTGTTGTTTGTAGACAAACTGTTCTGAAGTAGCAGAGAAGTGCATTTGAGATGCTACAAACACTTGAGTTTTCTACAGTGAACACTGTTCAAATACAAGTGAAAACTAAATCTGTTATATATCATATCAAGCCATATGTTGAGCTATAATGAGGTTTTATGATTGTATGTCTTCTACTGCATGCGACTGAGAGTTAAACATTAAACTGTATATATCAATTTGATAATTCTTCTGCAGTAATACTGGATATCTCCACTGATGATCTCTTTATACCGTGTTTTTTCTCTTAGTCCATCTGTGCAGCAGTTGCCTATTTCTACAGCAACTACTTCCTTCTGCAGTGGCAGCTACTCATCATGGTGGTTGTGGGCTTCTTTGGAACAATTACCTTCTTTCTGGTGGAGTGGAAAGCAGCAGCAGCTCTTGCTGCCCGTGGCTCAGACTACAGCAGCATTTGATCTACATACCATGCCTAGTCCAACGTGAGGAACAGCACAAGCACCTTTATTGTGAAGTGATGTGAGAAGGTGAAAAGATCAAGTTGCTGCAGAGGTTGGGATGGAGGAAGCTATTACTGAATCACCATCATTTTAACTGCATGTGGAACATGAGAGAGAACTCCACATTTGAAAGGCTTTTCTTGGTTTAATCAACTGGGTTTGGTAATTATGGTCTTAAAAATCCAGTGTTAGAAATAGAAGGGAATGCAGGGATCTCTGGATTAGCAACTCTGTTCTGAGATGTACCCTTCAGAATGTAATTGCCTTGTTTTACTTTACCATGCACTACAGAATTAGTTCAGTGGGTTTTTTTCCTCCCTAAACTATTTTTCCTATGTCCTGGTTCTGCAGACACTTGAATTCTTGTATTGAACAGTGATATTTTTATAGAGTACATGGTAAACAGAATGTCTGTGCAGCTGAGAAATCAATTTGTCATTGACTTTGCCAACAATTAGACATGCAGAAGTATTTCTGTGGGGAATGTTGCCTTCTTATTCTATATCATCCAGTTCCTTGTTTCCCATTTGCTTATTAATCTATTTCATGTGCTTAAATTTTATCAGATCTGTGTTTTGGGTTTGCTTTGGGTTTGTTTTGTAAGAAAATGGCTGAGGTTGTAGTGTGATGCCAAAGATTTGATAAGAATTTGAAGTAGTTGCCCTTAGCCACCTGAAGGATGTGATCCTGAGAGCTGTGAATTGTTGATAGTTGAAATCAGCCTCTTGGGTCAGCATCTCAGAATTGAACTGTGTTACTGTGTTGGGAGTGCTGATGAACCTTTCTCAGGGTAATGCTACATGAAGGACCATAAGGCACAGCTTCACCCCCAGGCTTCCAAATAGTTCTTTTGAGTTCAGTGAAATTTTCATCACAACTGGTGGTGGGAGCATTGTCTAAGGTAACTTTTTAAAGTGCAGACAGCTCAGAATGTGAATTGTAAGAATAATCCTGCAGGGTTTGGTCTACTGCATGGTCTAAAAAGACCTGAAACACTCGACCTAAGTTGTTTCATTCAGGATATTCTTGGGAGGACTGTACTGTAATCTTATGCTGCCAAATGCAAAAGCCACGTTACTAGCAGAGTAAATAAATTCCAATCCTAAACTGTTACAGGTGATGTAATACAGGCAGTGAATGCAGCTCACCTGGATTTTATCTGTCTGCATGACTGTAGTACTTGCACTTATGTTTCTGCCTAGTGGGCAAACAAGATGCAACTGAGAGCAGGTATGGAACAGAGAGGGTGTTTTTAGAGACTCCATGTAGCTATTTTTAGAAAGGTACCATTTTCCAACCTTTTTCTATGCACAGATCAGGATGTTAATGTCTTATCTTTAAAGATGAGTAAAAAAATCAACTCAGTATGTGTCAATAGCTCCTACATGTCATAGTAACATAGGTGTACCCGAGGTTAAGCTCAGTGAAGGGAGTATGGTATCTCCTGTGACATCAGCTGTCACTTCTGCTCTCAAAGGGCACATAACATCCAGCTCTCGTGAAGCACAGCCCTTTTCATGCACAGTCAAACAGCAAAAAGGGATTATTTAACAGGCATATAGAAAGGGAATTTTAAATTCACTGCAGGCTTTTGTTGTGAGATCAGTAAGTTGTTAATGGGAGGATGAGAGGGCACCTGAACACTTGGCAAGCAATCAAATCCATGAGGGACAGCCAGGAGAGAAAGCCCTTATGTATTCACTGGAGATTTAATGAATGATGGAAAAGAGAATGAGGCAGAACACATACTTGAGCGAGGGGTTACCAGAACCACTCCAATTTGTCAGACAAACTGGAAAAGCATTCAGTATTCAATCAATATGTATGATTAATGTGACTAGCAGCATTCTAATGCCTCTCACTCCTGTTATCCTGTAATTTGAAGCAAACTGTTTTTATATACTGAGCACCATAAAAGGTATAACTGATAGGAGGCTGCCAGTGATGAGAGTTATCTTGTTGCTACACATTTGTGTGTTCTCCCAAGTACCAAAATGGATAAAGTGCTTTCTTTATGATAGGGAATTACTGATGTTTGTCTCCAAGCACTTCCTGGGACCTGTTTTCCTCTACATATCAAGAAAAGAAGAAAGTCTTTATAGTTCAGAAGGAACAATTTTGTCCTGCAGTAGGGGGGTCTGTGTGTAATGATTCTTGGGTCTTGTGTTGAGTAACTTCTAAATGATTTAAAACAATGGTATTTAATTGTAATAGCCAAGTGCAAGGTCCTACACCTGGGTCGGGGCAATCCCAGGCACAGCTACAGGTTGGGCAGAGAAGTGATTCAGAGTAGCCTGAGCAGAAGGACTTTGGGGTGTTGATCAGTGAGAAGCTCATGACCAGACTTCAGTGTGCGCTTGAGCCCAGAATCACCTCCGTGTACTGGGCTGCATCAGGAGGAGTATGACCAGCAGGTCATAGAGGTGATCCTGCCCCTCTACTCTGCTCTTGTGGGACCCCGCTTGCAGCACTGTGAGCAGTTCTGGTGTCCTCAACATAAGAAGGACATGGAGCTGTTGGAGCAAGTCCAGAGGAGGCCATAGGGATGATAAGGGGCTGGAGCACCTCCTGTATGGAGACAGGCTGAGAACATTGGGGCTGTTCAGCCTGGAGAAGAGAAGCTGTGTGGAGTCCTCAGAGCAGCTTCCAGTGTCTGCAGGGGGCTACAAGGATGCTGGAGAGGGACTATTCATCAGGGACTGTACTGATAGGACAAAAGGTGATGGGTTTAAGCTGAAACAGGGGAAGTTCAGGTTAGATCTTAGGCAGCTCTTCCCTGTGAGGGTGCTGAGGTGCTGGCACAGGGTGCCCAGAGAAGCTGTGGCTGCCCCATCCCTGGCAGTGTTCAAGGCCAGGCTGGACAGGGCTTGGAGCAACCTGCTCTAGTGGAAGGTGTCCCTGCCCGTGGCAGGGATTGGAACTGGTTGATCTTAAGATCCTTTCCAACACATACCATTCTATTATCCTATAGCTAGGTAACAGCTCTCACAATTTGCTTTTTAAATTGGTCCCTTTTAAGGATGAACTTCTGTGATGTTCATCTGCCATAGAAGAATTACGTGAACTATTTTCTTAGAAATTAAAGAAAATTGCTATGTTTAGGTAGTTTTAAAAAGCATTTTGAGACTGAGTTTCAGGGATACTAATGAACTGAAGTTTCAGAATCTGTGTGTATCTGATGTTTTACTTTTTTTCCTCTGTTCTGCTTGATTTGACAATATCTGATAATGTTAGAAGGCTGTTCAGAAGTATTTTTTGGGGCATTAAAGTGAAGAAGGTATTACTGTGTGACAAGTTGTACAAGAAATGATGGCATTCTCAACACTGCATCATGGATAGCTAATTTTTTTACTATGTAAGTATCACTTACCTTTTGCTCTGAAAAGACAGTTCTCAGTTACTCAAGCTCATGATGACACGACTGCTTTTCACTTATAGTGCCAGGGTTTGTCGGGAGGTGAAAAATCCACCCAGCTCTACACAATTGTTAGGTCAACATTTTTGGTGTAGTAATATAAGAATTGCTGTAATAATATTTCTTTCATTACTTTAAGAAATAGTTATGCTGATATCTATTTATGATTCCATCTCTTAATTGTTTTTATCAGCACTTACCAACCCTGAGACCATTCATTTCACCTCCTTGGCCTTTGAACAACTTCATATAATCTGAATTGGGAGTTTACAGTTAAATTAAGTGGAATTTGAAAAAGGCTTTTGCTGTATTTTGGTTGGGTTTATGTTAAGAATTTTATCTTTATAAGCAAAATAACACTTTATGTTGCTTGTGTTTATTGAAAAGAAGTTTCTCACTTGATTCCCCCCCCCTCCCCCCCTTATCCATTTTGGTTGTTACTATGGTTTAATATCTTGACATGTCACATCCCCTAGTTTTTCAAATAAATGCTAAAGAGGAAATGAAAACTCATATTCTTGACATTTGAGTGCCAAAGAAGCAGCTACAAATTAGTCTTTAATGCATATCCTATAAGCCTATCTGTGTTTTTGTCTTGCCAGTTGGTTTTCATTGTGATATATGAATGTATTGAAGGTGAATTTCTCCAGCTGTAGACCTTGTTCAGAATTAGGTGAAGTGCTTTCACTTGCGTTACATTAATTTCCTTAGGTACAATCGATGTTAACAAGTTGAGATAAAGAGAACCACTTATAAAATGTTCTTTATAACTAATTATAATCCATAAATCTCTGCAGATGCAGCTGAATTCATAAGGGATTAAAAAAAAAAAACAACCCAACCCAAAAACCCCAAAAGAAACCTCAGAACCTTTACCAAGGTCCCTATCTTAGCAGAAACCCTCCTGTAGTAGAGTTATTAAAACCAAGAAGTTTTCTGCTGGTATAGTTCTTACAATTTTTATGACCATTTTAAACTGTACTGAAGAGAACTTCCTGGTGGAGTTTGCTGGTATAAGTTCATGGAAAACTAAGTATATAAAACCGTAAATTCAGGTCTCTGTGTCAGTTAACCAGGCAGAGGAAGCTCCACTTGACTTTCTTTGAATTCCAGAAGTTTAATTCAGCTCTGGAATGTGGTTCCCTGGCCTCCAGCCTGTGCAATTACCAGTAATTAAAAGCTACGGAGGCTGCTTCTGAAGGGCATCAGGGGTGTGTGAGGAGAGCCTTAATAGGTTGTCCTCTAGGGCAATGATTGTTTGCTCTTAGTGTAAATAGGAACCACTGTGTTCAGCATCATGGCAGTTAAGACAGGATTTTACAATCTCAACCATTAATTTTTCCAGGGAAATGTGTTTTCAAGGACTTGTTCCATACCACTATTTTCCGTGGAGGTATTGTAGCCCCACTTCATGCTGATTGAATGGCAGCAGTAGTTAATACCATGTTTTCCTTGTTCTCTGGTAGGTCTAACGTACTGGCAGAAGTATTGAACAGTAGGGGAACTTAAAGGTGGAGATGAAGTTGAGGGCAGGTGCTTAGCA